ATATATATATATATATATATATATATATATATATATATATATATATATATATATATATATTATATCATTATTAATACACAACAATATGTAATTAATACATAAAAATAAAAAAATAAAAAAAAAATAAATAAATAAAAAAATAAAAAAAAATAATATAGTAAATTATAATATCACCAACACAGACTCACCTTCAAGCTGTGACGCAGCATCTTACGTCGCTGGCCGAACGCAGCAAACAACACCTGCAGCAGCAGCAGCAACAGCAGCAGCAGCAGCAACAGCAGCAGCAGCAGCAGCAGCAGTAGCAGCAGCAGTAGCAGCAGCAGTAGCAGCAGGATAGCCCGCAGATGTATGCAGGCGCACCAGGACGACTTGTTGCGGCAGCAGCAGCGCAGCACGAACACACCAGCAGCAACAGCAACAGCAGCAGCAGCAGCAGCAAACGAAACCCTCGCGGGTGCAGCAGCACAACTGCAGCAGCAGCAGCAGCAACAGCAGCAGCAGCAGCAGCAGCAGCAGCAGCAAGACAAACTTTTTTGAGGTCTTTTGCATCGACCCCGCCTAGCAGCTCCTCGTCGCTCTCATGACGAAACTCAACGCGGACAACAGCTGACTCCACCTGCATACAAACCCTAAACCCTAAACCCTAAACCCTAAACCCTAAGTGGTTTTTTTTGGCGAGAAGAAGGATTAAGGGTTTGGGGTTAACTGAATGCTAGGAGTCAGTGTTTATTAGGGTTTAGGGTTTAGGGTTTAGCTTTTTTTTTAGGGTTTTTTTCGGGTGTATGATTGTGTATGATTGTTTACTATTGTTTATTAAGGTTTATTAAAGTTTATTAGGGTTTATTAGGGTTTAGGGTTTATTAGGGTTTAGGGTTTATATGGACCTTGGGTTGAGGGTAGAAAGCATGTGAGGGTATAGAGAATAAAAAAGAGGGCCGAGCAAGAAGAGAGAAAACAACACTGAGCCGGCAGTATGAGGCCTCGCCGGGGACAGCTACTAACCGCTGCAGAAAAAAAAAGGAGACAGAAAAGGAGACAGATGAGGAGACAGAGAAAAGGAGACAGATGAGGAGACAGAGAGAGAGAAAAGGAGACAGATGAGGAGACAGATGAAGACAGAAAAGGAGACAGAAAAGGAGACAGAAAAGGAGACACAAAAGGAGACACAAAAGGAGACAGATGAGGAGGCAGAAAAGGAGACAGACAAGGAGACACGAAGGGAGACAGAAAAGGAGGCATAAAAAGAGACAGATGAGGAGACAGAAAGAGACATAATAAGAGACAGAAGAGGAGACAGAAAAGGAGACGGAAAAGGAGATAGAAGGAGGCAGACGAAAGCAGAGACAAAGAGACAGAAGGAATTAGGGGGCCCCCATGGTGCTCCTGCGGGCCCCCCAGTACCCTCTTAGGGCTCCCAACTAGTGTCATAGGGGGGCCCCTGTTAAGGTTGCAGGGGGGCCCCCTGTTAGGGTTGTTGGGGGGCCCCCCGTCAGGGTTGTTGGGGGCCCCCTGGGTAAGGTTGTTGGGGGCCCCCTGCTAAGGTTGTAGGGGGGCCCCCTGGGGGCCCCCTGGGGGGCCCTTGGGGGGCCCCTGGGGGGCCTCAGGGGGCCCCCTGGGGGGCCCCTGGGGGGCCCCTGGGGGCCCCCTGTTAGTGCGGTGTTTACCTCAGCTACTTCGCGTTGCAGTGTAACGACGGCGAGGTCGATGTAGTGCCGGCAGTCTAGGAGACAGAACAGAAGCTGCAACAAAAAAAAAAAAACACGAAACCCTAAACCCTAAACCCTAAACCCTAAACCCTAGAGAATAAAGAATAAAGAGTAAAGGGTAAAGGATAAATGAGAGATATAGGTGGAGGAGAATGGGAGGGTTTTGTGAGGCCCCTAAGGGGCAACACAACCAGACGGGAGATAACGTCAACTCCAGGGGTTTAGGGTTTAGGGTTTAGGGTTTGGGGTTTAGGGTTTGGGGTTTAGGGTTTAGGGTTTGTGGGGGTACCTGGCTCGTGAGGTAGAAGGGGAGGTTGCCTACAATTCGTAGACGCTGCATGTGGTGAGCGAGGTAGGGCCAGTTCACCTGCATCCAAACCCTAAACCCTAAACCCTAAACCCTAAACCCTAAACCCTAAACCCTAGAGCGTAGCCACGGATGCAAACGCCAAACCCTAAACCCTAAACCCTAAACCCTAAACCCTCTCCAATTCCCCCATCTTCTACTTTATCGAACCTGCAATGCGGTGCACCCCTAAACCCTAAACCCTAAACCCTAAACACTAAACCCTAAACCCTAAACCCTAAACACCTGTAAGACGTCCTCGTGCAGCACCTGCAGGCCCGGCATTCGCTGGCTGAGAAGAGCTATAGACCGCGGATCTATCTCCACTGCT